TCTGTGCTGTATAATTCTATGATTGTATGTACATGTGCAAACATTTTTTTGATCAGTTGATCAACTGATGTGGAAATCCATCACCAACCTAAGATTGCCATGTATCCCACTGACACATGGAAATCCCAGAGATAGATTATTGGAATGGAATGTGCACTCTCTCTCCCTGGAGGGACTCATCCTGCTTCCCTAATTCCGGAACGTATTGGGAGCAGGTTGGCAAGAGCCAAGGTTTGGGGACCCCAGAGTGTGCGTTGGGGTAACTGTTGGAGTCTAACCAGCTAAAACCACATAGCTTGCCATTGATATTGCTGTCTGGCCAGCTTTCTTGCTGATCAATCATAAATGTTGGCCTTATTCTCCAGCCGGGTCATGATTGAAGGACAATTTAATCAGCAAAGCATAGAGTGCTTTTCAGTTACAGAGAACGGATGCTTAAAGAGAAAGCTTCAGTCAGAGGAAGGTACAAGGAACAATCTACATCACTCTGGTTTCATTTCGAAATCAAATCTGCATGTGGACAAGGTTTTCCAAGCCATCATTTTCGATTTATTGTCTTTAGCTGAGAGATCTACGCTCCCATTTGTTCCAAGGTATCTTGCCAATGCTGCACTGAACTGGCTTCTGCACAGCATTTAAGACACATCCAAGTGGTAGCTCTTCCTAATCCCGAATCACACTCAAATTCAAATCGATCGGCTGTGCAACTCATTGCTGTCTCTGAGACGCTGCTGGTGCCGGTTGGCTTCTGCCTGTAGAATAACATTCACATTATTCCTAATCAATTATAGTTGGCAAAGCCCTTTGAGACGTTGGCTTGTATCTGAAAGGTGCTGGAACAATGCATGTGTCACCTCGGCTCAGTTGTTAGCCATGTTACCTCCGAGTCAGAAGATTGTGGGTTCAAGCCTCACGTTCAGTAATTTGAGATCATGGTCTTGGCCAGTAGTGGCCGGAAGTGGCTCATGGGCTGTCAAGAAGTGTCCGGCCAAACATTCCCACCAAACCAGGCGAATCGGTTACAAATCAGTGCCTTGTTTCCAGCAGAGTCATACGGAGTCCTGTAGCTCAGTGGTAAGAGCACTCACCTTGCAAGTGAGAGGACCTCGGTTCGATTCCCAGGCAGGGCAAAACGTTGGGAAAGTTTACATACTGCACACCCCTCTTTACCTAACAGTAAGTAGGAACCTGGTTAATAGTCGATTGGCAGATTGCTTTTCTGGGGGTAATAATCCCTTAAAAAAAAATTGTCTCTCAATCCAAGTTTGTTTGTGGGACACTGCTGTGCGCAATTGGCTGCTGTGTTTCGCACACAAAATATACAGTCAATCCACTTTACAGTATATTCTGCGAAGCGCTTTGAGGCGTCTCGAAGACATCATGAGGTGTTATATGAAAAGGATTATTATTATTAATAAGATTAAACTGAGGTCCTGACTGTCTGTTCAGGTGGATGTTATAGCGCTATTGGGAAAAAAAGAAAAGGGAGTTTCTCTTGGTGTCCTGACCAACAACCCCTCCAGATTGAAAAAAAATCATTGGTCATTCACGTCGCTGCTGTTTGTGGGACATTGCTATGTGCAAATTGTCTGCTGTGTTAGCCTACAAATGCACAGTTACTACACTTGCCAGCAAAATTATGTGCAGCTCTTTAAGATACGTCAACATGAAAAGCTGTATCAAAACAACAACAACTCGCATTTATATAGTGTCCTTCACGCTGGGCAGCAACCAAAATCAAAGACAAAAGCAAGGTGGTATATATATATGTGTGTGTGTGTGTATATATGTGAAGCTCTCAGTGTGGTTTGGATACTCTAGTCTGAAGCATGGCGATGGGTTTCCTTGACACATGTCAGCCACCCAGCAGACCAACAAAAAAAAGCTCCTTCGCTAATTTCTTGAACAGAAAAGCCATTTTGAAGTTCATCAATGCGACTTAACATAAGGCTGCACCATTCCAACAAGCGAGCTTTTGTTGATTCAATCCTTTTTTTCTATTCTAGGGTTACACTTCAGCTTCTTTTGTGCCGTTACTTTGCAGTGCGAGTTCAGAGAAGTTTCTGGCTAACGTCACGTGCAAAAGGGGATGTCGGGTTCAGTCGGTGCTAAACCAGCAAATGCTGCTGTAAAAGCTTTTGCACTTTCTCAAGGAAGGTATGAGAAGGTGTACTTGAGTCCTGTACCTTCGTGGTTAGAGCACTCACCTCGCAAATGAGTGTTCTTGCATTTGACATAGCACCTTATCACGCCATTGAGACATCTCAAAGCGCTTCACAGAATATACTATAAAGTGAATTGACTGTATATTTCTGTGGGCGAAACGTGGCAGTCAATTGAGCACAGCAGTGGGTGTGTGTGTATATAAAAAAAAGGTTTCTCTTTTTCTGAGATCATAAAAAATTCAAACGTCTAGTGGTGGATCAGCCTTAATTATGCACTGAATATTTTAGCATGACCCATTACATTCAATTCCATCACATAGGGCTGGAGTTAAAAATGCGTCCTTCGAAAAATGCATCATTCCTTTTGACCTAGAGAGGAATCTTTCACTCATCTATGCTTGATGTTCAGGGTGTGATAAGATCACTGACCTCAATTTTACCCTTAGAAAGCAAATAGTTCTCCAGGAATACTAATGAGCCAAGCTGGCACTTGCACTGTTATTTAAAACGCTTCACAGGATTTTGTTTTCAAATCCCTCCATGCCTCCGCACCTCCCTTACCTATCCGATGTGCTTACACCCGCACTCCACCACCCTCTGCCTCCGCTCGGCTGGCTCCGGTCTCCTGTTGGTCCCTCCCTCCACCATCGGCTAACGTGCTTTCAGCCGCTATGCCCCGAAATACTGGAACGCTCTCCCTCAATCCCTCCGCCTTGCTCCCTTCCCTCCCCTCTTTCAAATCCCCCCTAAAGACCTTCCTTTTTGATCATGCTCCCCCCCGCCCCGCTCTCTCTAATCCTAGCTCGGGGTCAGACTCTGCCACTCTGTCAAGCACTCCGAGATGCTACCCCATGTGAAGGGGGCTATATAAATGCAAGTTGTTGTGGTTGTTTTACTGTTAGATGCAGTGACTGTGTATTTTATAGGCAAACCCAGCAGCCAGTTTCCTCACAGCAATGTCCCACAAATGGATGTGACATGAAATGAATGGGGGATAAGGAAATCCATTAGGAAGTTAATTAACCCCCTTCTCTTTTTGAGTAGATCCACGGGATCTTTATTGCCCACCTCAATAAGCAGACGATACTTCAGTTTGGTGTCTTATCCGAAGGATGGTGCTTCCAGCAGCATAGCTGTAGCAGAATGCGTGGAGTCCTGTAGCTCAGTTGTTAGAGCACTCGCCTCGCAAGCGAGAGGACCTGGGTTCGATTCCCGGCAGGGCAAAACGTAAGGGAATTTCCTTACTCCACACGCCTCTGCTTACCCAGCAGTAAGTAGGAACCCGGTTGATAGCCGATTGGCGGATCACTTTTCCGGGGGTAATAATTCCTTCAAAATAAATAATAATGATTTGGTCACTTCAATCCATGACTGTTTGTGGGACGCCGCTGTGCGCAATTGGCTGCCGCATTTCAGTCACAAAACATACAGTCAATTCATTTTACAGTATATTCTGTGAAGGGCTTTGAGACGTCCCGAAGACATGATAAGGCGCTGTATCAAATGCAAGGATTATTATTAATATTATAATGCTAGTCTAGACTATGTAAATTGAAAGTCCCGACGTGGGGAGATAGAGCATTGAACTCATATTGCTCTTACTACCAGTCAGTGTTTGATCTCTGAGTGCAGTAATTCCTGGGTTTAGGAAGAGTAACCCTTTGGAATATGATCGGAATGTTTGCTGAGTGACAGGGAATGGGGGGGGGGTTGGGGCGAGGCATTGAAACAGGAAACCAGTGGGGGTTAGATGCTTAGCTGTGTGTTATTTCACCCGTCATTTTCTGAGTTAGAAATCTTTCCTGGGCATTTAAAAGAGAGGGGCGAGACTTTTGGTGGGGGGAGTCACCCGGGTGTGTTAACACACATGGAAACGCATCACCATACTTAAGAATATCCAAACCTAACTGCTGATACTCCTGTATTTATGTGTGGAAATTTCCGTTTGTCTGCAATGGAGTGTGCACTCTCTTTTGCCGTACGCATGCACCCTGTTCAGTTCATCTGTGCGCAAATGTGCTGTCGCATTGGCCTACCAAAATACACAGTCACTACACTTTAAAGCGAATCCTGAGAAGTGCTTCGAGAAGTCCTCCTGATGTGGAATTCCAAGGATTATTATTATTGTTATTATTATTAATTATTAGTATTAGGTGCAGGTTGGGCAGGAACTGAGAGCGTGACTTGGAATAACTGCATTTATATCGCGCCTTTCATATTTGTATGCTCTGCCATAAAATGCCATAATAATAAATCATAATAACAATAATATTCCTTGAATTTGATATAGGGCTTTATCACGTCTTTGAGACGTTTCGCAGATTACACTGTAAAGTGAATTGACTGAATATTTTGTGGGCGTATGTTCTATTGGCAGTTTAACACTATGAAATAATAATAAATAATAATCCTTGCATTTGATACAGAGCCTTATCATGTCTTCGAGACGTCTCAAAGCGCTTCACAGAATATATTGTAAATTGAATTGACTGTATATTTTGTGGGCGAAATGCGGCAGCCAATTGCGCACAGCAGGGTCCCACGAACAGTCGTGGATTGAGTGACCGAATCATCATTATTTGCCACCGCGCGATTAAAATCTCCGAGCCTTCCTCCTTGTCCACTTGAAAGCCAAACCGAGTCAGGATTGACAAGCTTAAAGTTGAAATTGAAGTTAGGATCGACAAGCTTAATGATGAAATATAGGGCAGAGTTTTAGATTAATCTGATCAATCTGCACGCTCACTTAGGGTTGCTAAGCATTTTATCGCTCCAGTCTATCCACCCAAGACTGCTCCTACTGCCGCTGTGGCTGCTTAGTCATCTACTGCAGTGTGGGAAGCCCTTCCCTTGCTGTTCTGACAGAGTGTGAGCAAATTCGGGAGGAGGAGCTCTGCAGAAACATGAGGAGCAGGAGTGGGAGCAGTTCACGTCGACCCTTGTGTTTGGGCTAAATTCTACAAGCAGGGCTTTTAGCGAAGTGGGGGACGGGGGTCAAAGACTCGGGGGCGCTCTCTCTCTGCTATACGCCATCTGCTGAAAAGACGTTTAGAGGAGAGGGTTGGGGTGGGGGGAGGGCAAGGGAAAGCTGGTTTTATTTAGTCAGTAGATCAAGCTGCAAGTCAGGCAGCTTTCAATGGCCCAGATTGCACAGTGAGAGAGTGAGCGGGTGGGTGGGAGAGTTAGAGCATCTGTCAGCTAATGGTTAAACAGTTTTGAGCATTGCAGAGCTATTTTCTTTTGACTTGGATTCACTACAATGTCTGAGAAGGAGTCTGTAACTGAAGGCCCGCCAGCAGGTAGGTAGAGATTTTTTTTTCACATAGACATCATCGTAAATGCTTACTACTGTGCAGTACAATACTACAACAACAACAACCACAGCAAAATTACATTTGTATAGCGCCTTTCACGTCGGGAGGACGTGCAATACAGTAATGACTGCAGTGGCGTGTGTGTGTGTGGGGGGGGTGTATGGTTTGGTGGAGGTGATGCTGTCAAGATCAGAGAGGTTTGCACTCGCTGCTTGTGCTTTCACTGCTAACTCTTTAATCTGCAGGACCAGTAGTGGATGTGCTATCCTGATCACAGCCACTGTTTCACTGCAGATTGATAGAGATATAGAGAGAGAGAGAGAGACTTGCTCGCCATTACTTTTCAGCAGTCCCATGGAGGATATGATGTGGTCCTGAAAACACAGTTAACATTTATTTTTAGCAGATTTAGCTGTTGCGGGTTAAGATGCAATCTTTCTTTTTTTTTCCGTGCCACAGTTCCACGGGGTGTTGTTGCTGTTGTTTTTGTTCACACACTTTTTGTAAAAATATATACCTCTAGGTTTCTTAATTAACAAATTCCAAATTGCATGGTCTATTGAGAAAGCAGATGAGCTCGCCCTTATGTTAAGATCTATTGTGTGAGGTTCCGTTGACTTCTGGAAGCCCCTGCAGCAACTCAAGAAAGTGCGTTGCTTTTTTTTTTGAAAGCCTCTGATTAGTAATGGAAAGGTGCACGCACGACAGTGACAGTCACGGTGGGTTATTTCAGTCGGGGCTACTTTAAAGTGAATCCTATAGCAGATTGTGTTTTAGCCTAGCAGAAATCACTAGTTTATTCTTCACCTCTTGTCTTGTCAAGGCGTAGCCTCTGTTAAGTGACGCTTAGGCTGCTGCAGGGGTAACCCTCTGCAAACCAATGTCAAATGGAAGATTAGCAGATCCTGCCACTCGAATGTCCTTACAGAGTTGATTTGGAAAGGTCCGAATAGGAGCTGGGTTCTCAGTCTTTTCTTCTGGTTCATCAAACTCATGCTGAACTACTTTTTGGGGGCAGGACAAAAAAAAAGATGCTATCTTATTGAAATGTCGTGTGCTGTTGAAACATCTGCAATAGTTCCTACTGAACCTTAGGAGGAGTCTACTCTCCAGAGATGCCGAATGCCATTTTACATCAATGTCTAGACATCACAGCTCCCACACTAGGGCCTCTGGAAAGAATGTAGCGGCTTTTTTTAGGAGAGATAATATGTGCTAGGCTTTGAAGCCCTTGGTGGCACCTGGAAGATCAGAGAGCAATATGTCACGTTGAATGTTGGGGTCCATTGAGAAAGAGAAACTAAAGTGGGAAATAAGCAGAAACATCTGATGGAAACAACTGACGAAGCACAACAGTAATTGCTGTTTCCTTTAATCGTCAGTACTGCAGAGGAGGTTCCTCTTTGGGATAATACCTCAGGGGGTTAGCTCCAGAACATGGTTGTCTTTGAGAAGAAGGGTGATTTGAAAGATCCACTGGTAGCCTTTCAATAATGTTAACACTTACTTTTCTTGGGCTATCTTCACTGATGTAGAGGTGTGGTATGACAGTAGGATATAATAATAAACCTTGCATTGATTGGCGGATTGCTTTCTGGGTGGTGATAATCCCTATCCTCCCCGCCCACCACCCCCAACAAAAAAATGTGGTCACTCAATCCACGACTGTTTGTGGGACACCACCGAGCGCAATTGGTTGCCTCGTTTCGCCCACAAAATACCCAGTCAATCCACTTCACAGTAAATCCTGTGAGGCGTTTGAGACGTCTCAACAATGTGATAAGGCGCAATATCCAAATGCAAGGATTTTAAAAATTATTGTTATTCGATACCACGCCTTATCACATTGTCGAGACATCTCAAGCACATCGCAGGATTTTAATTTTGATGAGAAGAGACTATTTGTAGGCAAATGGTGTACGATGGTCACCGTCAATTAATAGTCATGGATAGAAAGCAATGTGCAAGCCACACTTGAGGTTGCAAAACCTTCTCTTAGCACCATGAATATATCATAAATGGATCACCCCAGGGGCTTCGTGCTGTAACCCGGCAAGAATCGTGATATGGCCGTGTGCGAATTGGTTACGGGGTTAACCGACACAATACACAGTCACTACACTTAACAGGACGTTCCGTGAAGCGCTTTGAAACGTCCTCCTGAAGCGCAAGGTGCTCTGTCAAAATGTAAGGAATATCAGCAATGAACACAGAAAACAAAAATGGTGGACAAATGGTCCAGGCAACAGAACAGAAGAAAATCATGGTGGTTCAGTGGCCTATTCCTGCGATAAACCTGCTCTCTTTTGAGTATCAATCTGACCCTGTTGATAGCACTCTCACATATGAGTCAGAATATTTGTGGGTTAAAGGCCCATCATGGGACTTGGAACTCATATATAGTCCAGGCTGACATTATATTGCAGTGATGGAGGAGCACTGCATTGTTGGAGTTGCTGTAATGTCTTAGGACGAGACATTAAACTTGATGTCCATGAACATTAAAGATCCCATGGCACTATCTGAAAGGAGAAGGGAGCTCCTGGTGTCCTGGTCAACAATAGTCCAGATAAAGTCAATCATTCACTTCATGGCTGTTTGCAGGACATTGCTATACACAAATTTGCTGTTGCACTCGCCTACAAATTACAGTCACTCCACCTAACAGTAAATGTTGTGAAGCGCTTTGATGTCCTCCCGACATGAAAAGCGTTATATCACATGCAATGATTATGATCATTTTTTTTCTTGCTTTCACCAAGTGTTTTTTTTCCATTGGCTAGGAATAGAGGTAAAAGTGTCAAAATGTCAACTGCGCTGAACACTTTCAATGACTGGTATATTATTAACGCAGTTTATAAATGCAATTGAAGTGTTTTCTGAATTCTATCCCTAATCATATGAAAATAAGACAAACAAGGGCCTGAAATTCCACCTAATCTTAGCCTGTGAGACAGTTTGGTCTCAAAATTAACAGCGTGCAGAACTGTGGAAAATTCTTAAATTCTGTCTTAATTTGCAACACATGTTAGCACAATTCTTAAAAGTCTGGCTTCCCGAATGAAACAGAATTTTAAGAATTCACAAGAGAATTCAATTTGCATTTACGTAGCGCCATTTACCACATTTCCGCTCCGTCTTATCTTGGGTGGTCTTACAGGCTAACACTCTGTGAAATTTTTGGCCTCATAAGGTATCGGGGTGAAATTTACCATGTGATGTGCTATTTAACACTGATGCTGTTAATTGAAGCATGCATTGAAATTAGACAACATATGGGCCCTATTTATGCTCCAAGGATAACTGGCACTGGGTCTAATATTGCTGATTCTCGCTAAACAGTGAAAAGTTGTGATTAATGATCTTTCATGACTATGTGTAGCTACAATTAATCTGCCACAACTCATTTTACTAGCTTTGTTTTCAAAGAGATGAGCATTTGGATACCTGCATTTACATTCTGTCCCTCCCAAGAGCTGAAGGTGACCTTCCACTGTGATTAGCAAAAAAAACATGCGTCAGGAATTGTACTGTTCCAAGACTGCACTATTCTCTTGATACCGACCACTCCACAGATAATTCAGCAATAAACTCGAGTAGGTCAGGAAAGCAAAGGCCATGCATCATCCAATGCAGAAACAGGGCAGATTTTACGGTAATTCTTAACGTATTTCTTAACAAAGAAAAATTACAAAATCGACCCAAATATTTACCCCAGTGGAACCTTAAAACAAAGATTTGTTACTCGAATTTAACACCTCAAGACTGAGTGATGAACAGCCGTGAAAGAACTTTTCAATTAATTTGCCATGTTTTCAACTTGATTTTGTTAATTATTGAAGGGTTTGGACAAAATAATATCCCCCCAGAAAATGAATAAAAATCGAAGCTCAAGGAACTGTCCAGAGCAGAAGTTTTGAGGTAAATTTTGCAGCATTTTATAATGAACGCAAAAAGTATTAGCGTTGTTTATTGGGAGATCATCAAATGAGGTTTGGTTCATTCCAAGACTGGCTCACCCACTGTAAAGAAGTAGTATTTGTAAAGCGCTATGAAATGCATTCTCAGCATGAAATGAAAAGGATATATCAAACACAAGGCTCATAATTGATTATTGTATTATCGGGGAGATGGACAAATGCCAACAGAAGACAAATTGTGGGGAGAAGCAAGAAGGAAACCATTGCAAAGCTAATGTATAGTGTAATGATGTGTCTTCCTGTACTAATTGATTTCCTTTGAACAGTCAGATCCATTAGAGAAACTACACATTTTTTTCATTGAAAATGTGTTTTTAAAATAAAGATTAAAGACAATGGCAATCAATTCAATCTAAATAATTAATTAAAGTAATATTTTGGCTGAATTCATAGCGAGGGTTGCTGTTTGCTGTAATATATGCAGCTTGTGTCTTGGACATAAATTTGCTTAAAAGCATTTATCGATTATCACAAGTCAATGACATTGAGGATTTATGACATTGCAGCTGTATAGTTTTGCCGACTCATGTTTCAAGGATTCCAAAAAATCGGTTGAATACTGGGACTTCACTACGTGATCGGTTTCCAACTGAGGGATGGTATAAAATATAATACTCAAGGATAGAGTTACATAAACATAAGACTAGCACCATCGCTGCATCTCACAAACATTTTACTCTGATAAAGTAATAATAAATCCTTGCATTTCAATAGAGTGGCTTTCATGTCAAGAGAACGTCTCAAACGCTTTATAGGATTTACTGTAAAGATATTTAAGATAATTGTCAAAGAACCAGAGGGGAGATGAGGATAAATGATTTAAGCAGAGAGTTGTTACGGTCTGGAATGCACTGCCTGAAAGGCTGGTGGAAACTGATTCAATGATAACTTTCAAAAGAGAATTGGATAGTACTTGAAAAGGAAAAAAATTGCAAGGCTATCGGGAAAGAGCGGGGGAGTGGGACTAGTTGGATAGCTCTTTCAAAGAGCCGGCACAGGCACAAT